GGGTGTTTCCCAGAGCTCTTGGTGGATAACTGTAGGTGAGCTGAGAGTGAAATGGTAGAGAATCAAGAAACAGTGAAAGAATAATCTTTTTCCTAAGGCCGTACCAAAGGAAACTATTGACCATTGCTACGGATATTTCTACATAACAAGCACATGCCCTTCCTTTCCAGCTTTCTCTAGACTTTCTGCATATCTTTTCATAAAGGTATTTCCTAATTTTCTTAACTATAAAACAAACAAACAAAACAAACAAACAAACAAAAAAAACACGCAATGATTTTAAGGTCCCTCTTTAAAATAAGGGAATGTTTACAGATTTCAGAGCCCCCCAAAGGTTACAAGGTTTAGAAGTCTCAAAGAGCAATCTGTGTCATGTGACTGGAGTGATGTGCCAAAGTTGTTAAAGTATTGCCTTCAAAATGACAAAAGCTGCCCTAGCTGGTTTGGGTCAGTGAATAGAGCTTCCTGAGGTTTGATTTCAGCCAAGGGTACCTACCTTGGTTGCAGGCTCCTCCCAAACCCTGGTCCTGGTCTGGGCTCCTGCAGGAGGCAACCAATCGATGTGTTTCTCTCACATCAATATTTCTCTCTGTCTTTCTCATTTTCACTCTCTCTAAGAAATCAATTGAAAAATATGCTCAGGTTAGGATTAAAAAAAATAATAATAACAGCCTCCCATGTAAAACTCAGTAAGTCCTCAAAGTGTCTACAGTTCCCAGTTCAATTCCTGGCCAAGGGCATGTACCTGGGTTCCAGATTCAATCCTTGGACGTGGTCCCTCTGGGAATGTGCAGGAGGCAGTAGGTATCCAAAGAAGTCTCTAGCTCTCTTCTTGTCTTCCTCCCTCCCTCTCCCCTTATCCTTCCTTCCTCCCTCTCCCCTACTCTTATTCCCTCCCTTTCCCCTGCCTTTCCTCCCTCTCTTTCCCCTCCCCTTCCTCCCTCCCTATCCCCAGCCCTTCCACTCTCTCTAAAAATCAATGGGAAAAAATACCTTGGGTGAGGATTAACAACAGCAACAAAAAGACAAAATCCAGTTAATCTGTCAAAGAAAGCACTCTTCCATAACAGATTAAGATTTAAAAAAATTTAAAAATTAAAAAAAAAAAACTCAGGGAACATAATTTCTCATTTTCAAAGACATTTGTTAGAATATCTAATTGATAAAACAATCCTTTCTATCTTTTAGTAAGTTACAAATAAAAGTCATGCCCAGCAGTATGGTTCAGAGGTTGAGTGTTGTCCCAGTGGGTACCTAAATTTGACTCCTGTGTTGCAGACTTAATTCCCAGTATGGGGCATGTAGGAGGCAGATGACTGATGTTTCTCATCAATGTTTCTCTCTCTCTCTCTCTCTCTCTCTCTCTCTCTCTCTCTCTCTGTCTGAAATCAATAAAAACTTATTTAAATTTAAAAAGTAAAATTAAATTAAACCCATGGTGTATAGAAATTTAGATAGAAAGCCTATGAGATCTGGTTTGTTGTAAAATCAGTGATTTCTTGATCAGATTATGTGTATAAAGGTATATTTAGGGAGATTTAAAAAGGTGTGAAATTAATTCTATTTAAAGTCCTATGAAATATAATCCTTAGAAAAAGTGGGTGTGGCCTTTAGAGACTCTATAGCATCAGCCCTAGACTCTCTAGTTCAATTCTGCTCAAGAGCATGTGTCTTAGCTGCAGGCTCAGGCCTCCAGACCTGAATATCTCACTGCGATGTTTTTCTCCCTCCCTACCTCTCCCCGCTTCTTTTTATTTTCTCTAAAAGTCAGTGGGGAAAATGTCCTCAGGTAGGATGAACAAAACGTCTGAAATATAATCCTTATAATAAATAGGTGTGACCTGTAGAGACACAATATAAAGACACTCAGGGAGTCCAACACTGAGTCTTCTCCAGAACAGAGTGTCTTGAGAACTCACCTGGTGAGAAGACTTCTGGAAGAGACTGCCACCACACAGAAAGTCTTGATCCCTGAGCTGACCTCTTCCTATTTTTTCTTTCTATGGAAAGCCCTGGAGACCCTGGATCTGCTCCCTAGGTGAGTGCACAATTGGCCATATTGGGGTTTCTGTAACTTTCCCAAAGAACAACAAAAGAATTCCCAATTTCAATTAATCACCAAACTAAGTTCGTTTCTATCAAGTAACATCATTTGCCATCTTAGTGAAAATTATTCCATGTTTGTTTAGCATCCTGTTTTGGTAAGTGTATTGGAATGAATATTAACTTTTGTTATCTTATATATTCCTTACTTGTTTCTATGGTTCATAAGGATTTAGAAAGTAGTGCCCAGGTATCTTGTGGATTAATACATGGCATAGATTTAAAATCATGTTTTAGGAATATTTGATTCTATATGCATTACACATTACAGTCTCCTCTGTATACAGTGAGAGGTATAAGTTACAATACATATAACTAGATAACACATTCAGTGATTTAAGGAGAATATTGTTTTAAAGTTAAATAAATGTCTGAAGAAACATGAGTTTTCTGATTTACATTTTAAAGAATGTAGGTCATGATTGGGCCTGCAGAAAGTGACACTGGGCATATAAGAAATATGAAGAGTTTGGGGAGTTTGGGGGCCATCTATATAATTAATAAGGACATGAGGACCCAGTTTTAAATGAAATGCATTTTTAAAAGCATGCTTTAATGTTTGGTACTGATTATTATTATTTTAAATATGTTTTTATTGATTTCAAATAGGAAGAGAGAGTGAGAAAGAGATAGAAATATCAATGATGAGAGGGAATCATTGATGGGCTGCCTCCTGCACACCCTCTACTGGGGATCAAGTCCATAACCTGAGCATGTGCCCTTGACTAGAATTGAACCTGGGACCCTTCAGTCAGCAGGCCAAGACTCTTATCTACTGATCCAACCAAGCTAGGGCAGTGCTGATTATTAGTAGTAGTAGCAGGGAAAATGGCAAAGGTGTTAGCCTCCATTCAGCAACCTCGGTTCTTGAGTTCTGGCTAAGAGAAGAATTCGGAGGCAAGATTTAAACTATATTGCCGAAACTGGTTTGGCTCAGTCAGCCTGCAGACTGAAAGGTTCCAGGTTCAATTCCCTTCAAGGGCATGTACCTTGGTTGTGGGCACATCCCCAGTAGGGGGTGTGCAAGAGGCAGCTGATCAATGATTCTCTCTCATCCATGTTTCTAACTCTCTATCCCTCTCTCTTCCTCTCTGAAAAATATCAATAAAATATATATTTTTTTAAAATATTTAAACTATAAGAGAAAGTTTATTTAGAAATTCACAGTGGTAAACAAAATGAACCATAAAAGAATTGTGCTCAGAAAACATATTACTTCAAAAAAAGGAAAAAAAAGGTCCTTTGATATTAGTGGGGAGGGTTGGGGGAGGCACCTTGGGAAATGAAAGAGGAGTAAAGGTTTGGGCTTACTCCAAAGGAGGGAGGTGAAGAGGAGGTTATAGAGAGAGAAAGAAAAAGAAAGAGCAGTCTCTGGGGAAAGAAGGGGGTGGAGAAAGGCCATGCTGTGCTCCATAAAGAGATCTATGCTGGGTCCTCCATCTTGAGGGTTTTTATTATATTTTTTGCTAATCCTCCCTCAAGGATATTTTTTCCACTTGTTGATTGATTGATTGATTGATTGATTGATTGATTTGAGGCCTGATGCATGAAACTGCGTGCAATGCTACGCCTTCCTTCCCCCAGCACCCAGGACCCAGGCATCCCTCCGGTTGCTGGCAGGCACCTGAAACCTGCGCTTCCCTCTCAGCCTGGCTTCATCCAGAGGAGAGAAGGATGTTTGGAAGAACGTCCAGTTTAATTAGCATATTAAGCTTTTATTATTGTAGATTTTTATATTGATGGAGAGAGAGAAACATCAATGGGAAAGAGACACATAAAGAGACACAGCTGAGGCCTAGATGTCATCTCTAGGGTTTAAGCTTAAGGGAGCGATGGAACAAGGGCTTGTAGTTTCTGCCCCATTGCTGGGCACCCAGGGTTCTCACCCTGGTGACCCTATGTAACTGGTTCATGGGTCCCGCTCTTCTCATGCCTGTCCACCTACTACAATTATGATTACATCCATAATCTTATCACACGTAGTGCTTGATAATCATTATTGAAGATTTCAAATAAAACAATTATCTCTTTAATTTTTTGTTTCTTAGATTAATAGAAATGACTAATAAAGAGAAGAGGGTTAATAAAGCACATTGGAATTATCATGTGAGTAGAGTCTGTGAAATTCTGATGATTTTGACAATGTTTAGTTTCCTCTTCATTACTCTTAAGGTATTCACATATTGTTTAGTATAAATCAAAAGAGTTTCCAGGCCAGTGTGGTTCAGTTGGTTAAATAGAGCAACATCCCAAGCACTAGGAAATCTCCAATTTCGTTCCTGGCCAGGACATATACCCAGGTTGTGGACTCAATCCACATTGGGAAATGTGCAGGAGGCAACCAGTCAATGCTTCTCTCTCTCATTCTCTCTCTGAAACCATTTTTTTAAGCACATGTAACAAAAGAAAATATATTAGTTGGATTCCATCAAATGTGTTGGGATGTGGATTCTGATTAAGATGAAAAAGCACAACCAAAATGCCTGACAATTACATAATAATGAAAATTTAAGTAAAATACCGTGAGCTAAATCAATGACTGTCATTGAGTGTTAGATAAAATATTAGAGGATCAGGACCCAGAACCTGGAATTGTAAATTATTCAAAATACCTGAAACTGAAACTATTTGGAGAAAATAAGAACTCAGCAAAATGAGGTTCTTTCTTAAGCAGAAGAAAAGTGTGCAGGAGGTGGATAGCATTGCTTAGAAATCCAAGAATAGTTTCTACAGGTTGTTGGAGCCTTCCTGTGTCTGCTTTCTGTTTGTGTCACGTGCCTATCAAGCTTTACTCTGCCCTGGGCACAGTTATTGAGTCACAACCTGAGTCACATTTTGCTTAGATCTTTCTATCCGCAGGGCAGAAGAACAACTCCTGATTTTCTTCTCTTGGAAAAATGGACTCGGACATTCCAGAAAACTTCCAGAAAGAACTCACCTGTGCCATCTGCCTGAATTACTTTACAGACCCAGTCACCGTGGGCTGTGGGCACAGCTTCTGTTGTTCCTGTCTCTATGTTTCCTGGGATAAAGAAGAAAGCCCTCCCTGTTGTCCTGTGTGCAGGGAACCATCGGAGCAGAACAACTTCAAAACCAATGTTATCCTGAAAAATCTGGTGTCCATGGCCAGAAAAGCCAGTTTGCGGCAATTCCTGAGCTCTGAGGATAATAGATGCGGGCTGCACCAGGAGTCAAGGCAGATCTTCTGTGAAGATGACAGAAGCCTGCTCTGTTTGCACTGCTCCAGCTCTCAGGAACATGAGGCCCACAGACACTGCTCCGTGGGAGAGGCTGCTGAGGAACACAGGGTGAGTGGTCCCCTCAGAACTCTTTGAATGCTGGCGGAGAGTACAGCAAAGAGATGAGGATTCAATCTTCTCCTTTTTAAGTTTACTGATACATACTTAAGAACCATTAATGAAGCTGTGAGGAAATGTACTGGTTTACCTGTCTTCATGGACATTGCATTTAATGGGAGAGTAATTAATTAAGGATCATCATTACTTTGATGATGCAGCATTGTACTCAAAGCACTGGAAAACTTTCATGAAAGATTCTATGGTGTGAAAACTATAAATACCGGAAGGATTTCCAGTGGAGACTATATTTGCTAACACTAATAAAGATGTCAGAGAAAATACATTGGAATTTGGAGCAGAAAAGTATCACTAGCTTCAAATTCTGACCAACTGAGAAGTAGTTGTGCTAAGTAAAATCTTGATCAGTTTCTCTAGACAAATTTTTATATTCTATTGGGTGGTTCTTCAATCTAAAACCTAAAATGTATCGTTAGTGAGGGCAAATAGGAAAAAATCATGATCCTTCTCTGAAGTACTTTTGTCTAATATCCCTTGATTAATGCCTTCATTTAGTATCTGAAACCTAAATGTATTTGCTTCTCTGGTGCTAAAATTTATTTTATTTTATTTTATTTTATTTTATTTTATTTCATTTTATTTCATTTCATTTCATTTTACAGAGAAAACTCTCTAACCAAATGAGATCTTTATGGGAAAAGATTCAAGAAATTAAAAAAACTCTCAGTAAAGATGGGAGAATACCTGTCTTTTGGATGGTAAGTATGAGACTGCATTTCCCTGTGAATCAGGCTGACATAGACCTGACAGGAAAAGACCTGAGAACAGTGATTTAAAGTGTGTGCCTACATGGTGAGAATTGAGAGTGCAAGTGCTAGACAATGATATTGTTTAAGTAGAAGAAAATATAACATGTTCAATTAAAATGAGGAAAAGAAGTAAAGAATAGAAGGAACTAAGACTGGAGAGAGAGTGTGAGTCCATCCCTTTTGGGAGAGAATGCACAATGGAACGATTATAGTTCTTTAGGAACTAATAGAGGAGCCTGTGGTCTTAGCTGGAGGACAGTAGCCCATCCATAGAGAAAAGGGCGACAAAGAAAAGGTCCAGGAGGATGGATGTCAGTGTGAGGGCAGGTGGTGAGGATTTAGGGAGGTCTTTTCTAAAGGCTTCAAATCCATGGGGGAAGAAGAGGGTGAGGAAAGGCAATGATATGCTCCATAAAGAGCTATGCTGAGTTCTCATGCAGAAGAGTAGGGAGGTTTTGTCACAAGAGATAAATTTAGTGATGCAGAGACCAGGATGTTGCATGTTATGACCATAAACGTCCATAGCTGGCTTGCAGTCTTGAGAAAAAGGATATAAAAGAAATATTTAATGAGAAGCTTTTCTCCAGTTCCTTCAGGCACTCATGAAGTGGAAGGAGGTGTTTTTGTTGTTGTTGTTGTTTTGTTTTTGTTTTTTAAAAAAACAACGACATGTTTTTGCTTTTTAAAAAAAAATACATTTTATTGATTTTGTACAGAGATGAAGGGAGAGAGATAGAGAGTTAGAAACATCGTTGCAAGTCATCAATCAATCAGCTGCCTCTTACACACCCCCTACTGGGGATATGCCTACAACCAAGGTACATGCCCTTGACCGGAATCAAACCCAGGGCCCTTCAGTCCCCAAGCCAACGCTCTATCCATTGAGCCAAACCAGTTTTGGCTGGAAGGAGGTGTTTTGAGGAAAGTGTAGGATTAAGGCTGTTTGCATAGCTTATAAGAATAAAACATAAATGAAGGAAAGAGGAATGACCTGAATTTAGTGTGGTGAAACTTATTGGTAGAGGACAGCATCAGGGAATGAGATGCTGTTTAAGTGGTGGAGGGTAAGGTCAGCCCTTGTAATGTGATCTAGGAGATCTATCTCTCTGCAGGCTTATCTCTATGGACGCCAAAATGAAACCAGGGCTTTTTATGAGGCACTCCAACTGGTTCTACAAGAAGAAGACAAAAAAAATTTAGAGAGACTTATTGAGGAAGGATCAAAATTGTCTGAGCAACTGAAGAAATATCAAGCTGAAATGATTGAAAAGAGCATAAACCTAAGAGCAATGTATGATGAGCTCATGGGCATGTGTCTAAAACCAGATGAAGAGATGCTCAAGGTAGGAACTGAGCATGTGCCTGGGAATTTTTTATATCATCAGAAGACTTTGCTTTCCCTCATTTATTTGGTATCAAAGATTGATGTCTTCATCTCCTGAATCTATGGTAGAGAGGTTCTCCCTATTGGGAATGATATAGATAAGCTGTTATTCCCCTGTCCCCCCACCTAATTATAAACAATGAAGTTTTATGGAACTGTGACTTTGAAAATTCCCTATGAAACATATTCCTTCTTAAAAATCTCCTTTTATTTTTTGCATTACTAAACAGAAGATGAAAAACTTATCCACGTACTTTTAATTTTTATCTGCAAGTGGGCAATATAAAGACCTTTGGCCAAAGCTCCTATATTTTTCCTCCTATTGTGATACCATTACCATTGGTTAGAGATCAAGACTTAGAAAAGATCCTTATTGAAAAAGCTGAGAATAAGAGTAATGTAGTCACTATTCTTGTGTTCTCTTTTTTTCATACTCGGTGTTCTGGATTCATCAAGAACACAAAAATCGACCAAAAGCATAGTTGCCAGAATTTGGGGGGTCGAAAGGGAGATGGGAAGACAGTACAAAATATTGTGATAGGTTCCCAAGGTAACAATTAATTACTAGGATTAGTGGGAGTGATCACTCTATAAGATAAAAAAATATTGACTTGCTATATTGTATAACTGAAATTAATATAACTTATATAAGAATACCAACTGTATTTAAATAAAAAGATTTTAAGTATTTGAAAAAGAATTTATATTCTGACAACATGTTGTGTCAGTATGATCTTTAGGGAAGAAAAGAAAAATGAATTTATAAGACAGTTTGCAGGTGGTGAAATTAGTATTTTTCTGAACTCCCCCAAACCCAAAGTCTGGTTGGTAAAATAACCTATTTCTGAAGAATTCTAAGCTTCTCTTTTCTTTCTTTACAGGAACTAGAAGACAAACTAAGAAGGTGATTTTGGGTTTCAATGCTAACTGGGGCTCATTAGGGATGTGAAAGAGATTACAACTACCTCTCACATAGTGAAGACATAATTTCTCAGATTATTCTCAATTATTTGTGTGTGCATCTACTTATGCATGTTTTGCAGAATAGGACTTCCTGTACTTATGACCAGAAGTTAGTATTTTCCCTTCGGTGGCTGAGGGAGTATGTGTCATTAGGCTCAATGAGGACTTTTCATATAGACTAATTATTTACGGTTTAATATTTCAAAGTCAATAGGAACTGAAATTGCAAAGTCTAGATTTAGTCTAGATTTCCCCAGAATTAGGTAAGACAAACAATCACCTCTGAGAAATGGGACTGGTAGCAAGCAAAGAAAAAGAAAAGTTAAAGATTCCTTAAGAATGGCCCAATTCTATACCATCATTGTGAACAAAAGGATTTTGATTAAGCATGTTCAGCTGAATGGTGATGCCACCAGCAGGATTAATTGCCTCTTTCTCCTGACAGGAGTGAGCAGGTGCAGCTGCACATGCCTCAGCCTCTGCAGCCAGAACTCACTGCATGTCCCATCACTGGACTGATGGAAAGGCTCAACCCCTTCCGAGGTGAACGTTACCCCATTGGGGGACCACCTGGTGGGCTCCTTCAGTTGGGAAATGTTGTGGGTGACCTTTTCCTCTTTCTTAAACTTTACCTTGCACAAGAAAATAGTCTTCAAAGTGGATATATAGTCCTATGTAGTTATGGGGTCACTATAATATAGGAAAATGATAGGTGTGACTCAGGTCTTATCAATAACTTGTAAATTTGATGTTATTTATATGATGATAAGAAAATACATGCACCAAAAAGGATCCCACTGACTCATAAATATATCATATAAAATGTCAATTGTTGATTGATCCATAGAAAACTGGATATCAGTTCAAGGTATTACAAATAATTGCAGTGAATTAGATTTCTAAAATATTTCCTTAAATAATTATAGTCATTAGATATATAATGTGGGTTTCAAATGATATAATATGAATTAATCACCATTGTGTAAAAAGCTAGTTGTACAAACCAAGAATTTATTAATATGAGAATAAAATAATTTGGTGGTCAATGAGCCTACTCGTAGAGCTCAACATTAAACCTATACCTGGGAGTTTAATCTATAAGAAAGGAAGATTAAGCTTTTAGGTGGAACCATTTATCAAAGGCATCATATCCTTCGTAGGAAATCATACCTAAGACGGCCTTTATGTTTCTTCTTTAATGTCAACTTGCTTACTTATCATCAGCTGGAATAGCACCATATTCTTTTTTTTTTTTCTTTCTTTTTTTTTTTTAAAATATATTTTATTGATTTTGTACAGAGAGGAAGGGAGAGAGATAGAGAGTTAGAAACATCGATGAGAGAGGGTCATCGATCAGCTGCCTCTTGCACACCCCCTACTGGGGATATGCCTGCAACCAAGGTACATGCCCTTGACTGGAATCGAACCCAGGACCCTTCAGTCCCCAAGCCGACGCTCTATCCATTGAGCCAAACCAGTCCCGGCATGGAATAGCACCATATTCTGAACAAGTCATTTCCATTTATTTAAAATAAAATTATTTTTCTCCTCAAGAAGGAGTGGGAGAGGTAAGATTTATTGTTATGGACTTGGTAGCAATGCCCAGGTGTCCAGTTTATAAAAAGTAACCAGCCAGAAGTAGACATGACCTTCACTTTTATGATAGCCTATTTCTAGGAGGTCTTGGATATTTGTTTCATTTTTTTTTTTTAGGAGATATGTTGGCATCATTTGAATCCGATATTTTCCATTCAAACTTAGTGTTGAATTTTTTTTTTTTTCGGTGAGACACTAAGGTGTCCCATTCTCTCATAGACAATTTTATTTTCAACATTGATTTGTTGTTGTTTTCTTAATCCTCACCTTAGAATATTCTTCTCATTGGTTTTCAGAGGAGCATGGAAGGGAGGGAGGAGGGAGAAAGAGACAGACCAAGAAAAACAGACAATAGAGACACATGTGGAATGATTGTCTCTCACATGCACCCTCACAATGGCAGAGATGAATCTGCAACCAGAGTACATGCCCATAGTCAGTGGGCTGATGTTCTTATCATTGAGAAAAACTGCTGAGGGCTTAACATTGATTTTGACTGGAATATTCTCTTTTATTCACAGTGCAAGTTTCCTTCACTGGTGAAATAACCCCTGAGAATATACGGTTGTTTGATGACGTGAGAAGTTTGAGGTTTATGGGTGATGGTCTACATGTGTCTCTGGATCCTGGAACATCTAACTCTTTTGCTGCATGGGGAAACCGTGTCTTCAAGTCTGGCAAGCATTATTGGGAGGTGTATGTGGACAAGTCTTGGGACTGGGCTGTAGGGGTATGTAAGGAACCCTGGATGGAGACGAATGGCACATTGACTGAATGTAAGGACACGTTTCTTCTTATACATGTGAAGGAGGATGATCATACAACTCTCTGGAGCACTGCCCCGATGGCTCGTCAATACATACAGAAACCTCTGTCCAGGGTCGGTGTGTTCCTTGATGTTGACAATAGAACTGTAAGTTTTGTGGATGTTGCGAGGTGTTCTCTCATTAAGCATTCCTTCATTAGGCATTCCCCATTTCAGGATTATGTAGGTGACCTGTGCAATAACAGTTTCAGACCTTACATTTCACTGGCAACTCATGGGTAGGGCTGAGTTATGAACCTGTTTATGTGCCTGGGATTTCTGATGGGAAGGAGCCCTTTTTAGTTGAAGCCTATTAATGATACATTATTGTCTTTTATTCTTCTACTTTAATGTAACCTCTTTGTGTTCAGTATAAAGATAAGGTGAAATGTAAAATTGTGTTAATTTTCTTTTTTTGTCATTAAAATCATGCTTTATGGCTTTTGATCAAGAATATATGTACTGTAGTATTTTGCCTCTTTTATGAACTTGCTAGAGTCACCAAAATATTTATCATTATGCAATTACTATTCTTGGTTTGAATCTAGGAATGCAGGATTTTTACATTCTGGATATACCTGGTTATCTACATGCCATGTCAGTGTGCAACTTTTTCTCCTTGGTCTGGTCACTCCTGCAAGTTTACTTACCCTCCGGGGGGAAAGTGAGCTGACAAGGAAGTTTCTGCTGACTAGGATAGGCCTTCATTTTTGTGAACCTAGAATAGTTTGAATAACTTGTCCTTTTTTCCCCCCTCAAAGGTAGAATGCATTGGTTAGGGCATCAGGGGCAATTAGCAAATCTTTGGAAGGATACATTAGTAAATTACTTGAAAGGAGTTTTGCTATAAATTTTCAGGATTTGAAAGTTGATCTGAAAAACTGATTTTAAAAACAGAGTTTAAACCCCATTGATTTTTCCCTTCTGTGACAAAATGGTATTTGTATGTGTGAGTCAGCCACTATAGAATCTCTATTATGATAGTGACTAGGGGTGTGTGTGTGTGTGTGTGTGTGTGTGTGTGTGTGTGTGTTACAATCTGGGTAGTCATACATCATTGTAAATTCAGTTAGCATCATCACCTGGGCAATGAGTGGTGGAAAGGAAGACAGAAGACCAAAATGCACACATAAGGTACCTCCTATCTCTCCTCATAAATCGGTTGTTGTTTGAATTGTTCTTGTCCCACAATAAATAGCAAATTCACCACTGCATTTCCTGAATATATTGTTAGAAATTAATCAACGATGATTAGCTAAATCAAGGTAATTTTTTAGACTAAAAAAAAAAAAAGACTCAAATTTAGCAGACAAAGACCTTACATTTATGGAACTCAACATGTGATTTTCCTGTAAATGTGCTTCTTGTATTTTACATATGGAGCCTTAATCCAATATTTCTGATAAAGAAACTAAGTCAGGCTGAAACTGGTTTGACTCAGTAGATAGAGCGTCAACCTGCAGACTGAAAGGTCCCAGGTTCGATTCCGGTCAAGGGCATGTACCTTGGTTGCAGGCACATCCCCAGTGGGGGGTGTGCAAGAGGCAACTGATCGATGATTCTCTCTCATCAATGTTTCTAACTCTCTATCCTTCTCTCTTCCTCTCTAAAAAATCAATAAAATATATTTTTAAAAAGAAAGAAAGAAACTAAGTCATATGGTGCTGCTATTGAGTAGTGATTTGAATTAAGGTAATAAGTAATCTCTAATGTCTGTGCTCCTACCATTGCTATGTGTTGCATCTCAAAAATACACGTTCCTAAGGAGAAATAATGCAGAAAATGAACCAACCTTCCAATGACTGTTGATTAGAGTCAAAATACCTAATGCAAAGAAAGAGTTTATTCTAGGACCTAATATAGAATAGATCTTACATAAATATGTACTGCCAATATTTAAAGTTTCATTCTTTTTAAAAAAATACATTTTTGTTGATTTCAGAAAGGAAGGGAGAAGGAAACATCATTGATTGACTGCCTCCTGCCTGTCCCTTACTGGGGACCGAGCCCTTGCCCAGTTCCCTGACCTGGAATGGAACTGTGACCTCCTAGTTCATAGGTTGACACTCAAGAACGAAGCCACAACAGCTGGGCAGGTGGTATATTGCTTTTTAAAAAATATATTTTATTGCCAAAACCAGTTTGGCTCAGTGGATAGAAGGGTCCCACATTTGATTCTAATTCTGGTCAAGGGCACATGCTCGGGTTTCAGGATTGGTCCAGGTAGGGAGCATGCAGGAGGCAGATGACCGATGATTCTCTCATCATTAATGTCTATCTATCTATCTATCTATCTATCTATCTATCTATCTATCTATCTATCTCTCTCCCTTTCCCTTCCTCCCTGAAATCAATAAAAAAAAAAACCCTAAAAATGTCCAGGCACAGAAAAAAGCAGATATTTATCTTAAAACATATACATACCAAGTGCTTATAAACCACTTCAAATTAAGGTCAAGTTTCTGACAGAACTCACAGGGTTTTTTATTTGCATCAGAAAATATTCATTTTTAATTGCCTTATAAGATAAGTATTCTGTGATAATGAGCTGCTGCAGGCTCAAGCAGAGGCAGCTACAGGCAGAGGAAGGATGGTTGGCAGGGCTGAGCAGGGCTGGGCAGGTGGCTGGCTGTGCACTGGGTGCCACCTGGGAGCAGGACTGAAGCTTCAGAGCCCAGAAGGAATTGCTAGCTAGCTTCGGAGCTCAGACCTGGGACCAGCGTGATGGCCTTAGACAGTAAGATTGAGCAGGCCTGGTCAAGAATCACCTGCTCTATGCTGTGAGAGAGGAGAAAGAGATCCTGAAGGAGCAGATCTCAGAGCTGGTGGAGAAAAACTCCCGGCTGGAGCATGAGAGCCCCCTCTTGAAGACTCTGGCCAGCCTGGAGCAGCTGAAGAAGTTCAGTCCTGTCTGACCCTGAAAAGCCAGCTCCTGAAGCCCCACAATTGTCTGAGGCCCCTGATGGATCTGCAGGTACGTGGCCCTGTGCTCAGAGTGAGCAGAGCCACTAAACTGTTCTACCTAGTACTTCCCACTTTGTTTCTGGCTCTCTAACTCATCTCACCTGGAGAACTTTTCACCTACCGTAGCTGCTGCCAAGAGATGCCCCAAGGACATGGCCACCTGGGTCGACTCCAGTGACAGACCCCTGGCAAAGAGCAGATCTTTGCAGCGTGAGTTGCCTGGGACCTCATCACCCCAAGCCTGTGAGCCTCTAATGCCCCCGCTCCCTGGGGGCCCCCAAGGTCTAGGAAACTTGGCTTTGACTGGTCAAGGAGAAAGGTAGTTTGACATGTGATGCCGCTTTTCTCCTGAAAGTATAAGGGGGCCTGCTTTTCATTTCCATGGACATCTTTAATAGCTTCACCTGACAATGACTGTTCCTATGAAGAAGCCTCTGTGTTTGAAGCAGAGGCAGCCTCTCTCTTACCCCTGGCCTCGCCAAAGCAGGGCCACAGATAGGAGAGATTGAGCCCAGTCAGCCTTCTGTCGGTTAATATGGTACAATGCATGGATTGGGCATGGCTCTGTGTGGCATTATGGGTTTGGGATGACTGCCTACAAAGTTCTGATTGGTTAGTAATGACATAGTTTTTCTAGATAGCCATACATGTATATATATACTCATCGTTTCCATCTATATGTTAGTGTAGTTAGGTATACACATACACATACAAATACATCTGGAAGGGCCTTAACAGCTTTGGGAGTATTGAAAGGTCCTTCATCTTTTAAGGCTAACTTTTTAGCCTTAACTCTGACTGAATTTATCTATCAAATTAACCCTATTTGTAATTCAGATTAAGTAAGAGTAAAAAGTAAAAGCAGGGTGAGGGCCAGCCTCTGAATGTGTCCACAGATGCCTTGCTGCTGCGATAATTGCCCCATGTGTCCTCTGAAGACATGTGAGGTCCCTTTTTGAATGCCAAAACCACCATTCATTGGTGCTGACTACATAGAATGGGGTTGAGAAAAGATCAGCTGGGACTTCACATTGTCATTACAAACTTTTTTTTAATGTTTGTGGAAAGCTTTCAAGTGAAGAAACGATTGGCTTTCTGCTGTCCTTTTGTGGACAAGGGATGAACAAAGCAATGGCTTTGACCTGATGGTGCCTGGGAGATGTGCTCAGAGAGCATGTTTGTAGGAGGTTCTGTGGCAGTGAATACTTGCCACTCTCTGACACTTTATCCTCATGTATGTCTCCAGGATTTTGATTTCAAAAATGTAGCTTGAGCCGAAACCGGTTTGGCTCAGTGGATAGAGTGTCAGCCTGCGGACTTAAGGATCCCGGGTTTGATTCAGGTCAAGGGCATGTACATTGGTTGCGAGCACATCCCCGGTGGGAGGGGTGTGTGTGCAGGAGGCAGCTGGTAGATATTTCTCTCTCATCGACGTTTCTAGCTCTCTATCCCTCTCCCTTCCTCTCTGTGGAAAATCAATCAAATATATATATATATATATTTTTTTTTTTAAATGTAGCTTGAAATTTCAATTCACTTGGCTCTTTTTTTTCTAAAAAGAAAAAAAGAAAAGACAAAATATTCTCCACTATTAAAAAATGTTTATAATCAAACAATAAACTAGGTGGAGCATAGAGGGTTTTTGGACAGTGAAACTATTCTGTATGATACTAATATGGTGATTACATTTCATTATCAATAGTCCAAATCCATAGAAAGTACATCATCTAGAGTGAACCCTAATGTAAGCTTTAAGTTTTATAAAGGCACTCTGGGTGGTAATGATGTGTCACTATAGTTTCCTGTGTAGAAGGAGGGGAAATGTGAAAAATCTCTGTACCTTCCCCTCAATTTTGCTGTGAACCTAAAAGGTAAAATCTACTTTTAAAAAAACATTCATGCAATGATCCAGTCTAGTTTATATATTTTAGGTTTAGAGTAAAGAGTAGTGGAAGTCATATCTGAGGTGAACTTTGTGGGTGGAAAAACTGGAAGACCAAAGAATGAAATCGGACACACTGATCTTATTATCAGCCACCTGAAATTGTTATTGTTTTCTTTAACAGATTAAGCAATTATTTAATCCAATCAGTATGATTTAAACTTTTGTTTATAACTATGATAGCCTAATCTCCAGTTCAAAGTGTAGGACAGTACTAGCATGTTAAGAAAACTGTCTAGGTGAAGGGGAGCTATGGGGGAAGAGAGGGGAAAGAGGAACAC